CTTGCTTGCTTGCTTGCTTGCTTGCTTTGCTTGCTTGCTTGCTTGCTTGCTTGCTTGCTTGCTTGCTTGCTTGCTTGCTTGCTTGCTTGCTTGCTTGCTTGCTTGCTTGCTTGCTTGTTGTTTTTTGTGTTTTGTTTTTGTTTGTTTGTTTGCATGTTTTCTTGTTGGTCGGTATGGTTGGTCCTTTTATTTGTTGGTATGTTGGTATGTTGGTTTGATGGTTTGTTTGTGTGTTTGTGTCTGTGTTTGTGTTTGTTTTTGAGTTGGTACCCTTCTCAGGCTTGTGAAAAACCAAAAGGGAAGCTGAAATCCTTTTTGGAATCCAAATCCCCATTCTGACGTATACCCATTTGGCCAAGACTCCCTTACCAGCGCCAACTCAGGTCTGGTTGCAGCAAAAAGTCTGTAGGGCTACCTGAGTCAAAAGTGAAAAAGTTATGGGATGGGAATCCCACTTTTGTTGTCACAGAAAGCTTCATATTCCGCAACCATGCCCAACAGTGGAAAAAACGTCCCTTTTGGTGAAAAGTTCCCCACACAATGCGCGTGTGGAGAGGTTCCTCAGTTTTGACACCTTTGTGGCGTGCTGCCTTTGAAGGGTCGTCACGATTTTGACGCCCTATCTGTGTCAAACCGGGTGAGACCAAATCCGTTCTGATCAATTCCCAAGAAAATCCAATGAACCGGGTTGTCATTGCCATTTGGATGAGCTGACATGTTTGCCCAGCCAAGTTTGGCAACATAGATGGGCCCCATGCTTTGCTTCCTTGTCCTGAAGAAATCGCTACCCAAATGCCCTAGTAGGGAAGGAGTGGACACGTCTCCCAACTGGAAACAGTGGACACCGACACCATTTTGGATTGTTGACGCAAGAAACAACACCTCCAAATTCTTCCTCCAAAATCCCAGAATACACCACACAGACCCGAAGAGGTTCCTTTGAAATCGAGTACCATCCCATCAATGGTTATTCACGGCTGGTCCCCTTGAGCCGCCTTGAGCCCTTGATTTCCCACCCTCCACTCCCCACCCCCCACCCCCCCACCCCCCACCCCCCACCCCCCACCCCCCCACCCCCCACCCCCCACCCCCGCCACTCGCGCCGGCGCCGCTGAGGCAAGCCACCCGAGAGGCCGTGACCAGCGCTCAGCAGACGCTCAGCGTGCACGCCCAGCTGGCCTCCGAGCAGCTCTCGGTGGCGCGCCTCGCCTCACTCACCTGACAGCCTGGTCTCAAGAGGGCAGGGGAGGGGAGGGGAGGGGAGGGGAGGGGAGAAAGTCGATCTGTGGGATCTGAATCCTCCCCTGACCGGAAAATTAAGCCTACTCCCAAACGAGGTGCTAAAGACTCCTCTACGTGAAATGGCGCTTCGACAACACCATCTTTGACTTACAACCTGTGTCGGTTCCCTTAGCTGAGGTGGCAAAACATGCCAGAGGTCTTTGGATCTGCGTCCAGCTCCAGCCGCAGCAGCAGCTCCGACATGGAGACCTTGGAGGCCAGATCATTGCCCCATCTCCCTGCGCCCAAATGTAATTTTCTTCCTAGGCTTGATATCAGTCATCTAGACAAATCATAGAGTGATTTGGGGGTAAAACCAATGATTCGGCCCATGATCAAAGCCCTGTACCTGGGGATTCCAAATTTCTGGTTTGTGAACTACGATAGTAATTTGCTCAGGCCTGAAAGCTGGGACTATGCCCGCGATATGTTTTTCTCATGGGCAATTTTCAGACACACATCCCAGCGTTGCAACGCAAACACCCTTAGCTTGCTGAAAGTGTTCATAGGGGAAGGACCTGGCCATGGGACCTTCGCATTTCTGAATTTCTCGCAGGCGCCGACCGCTGCGACCGCCACGCCTGCGCGGATCGTGACGGGGCAAGATAGGCCGGCTGAAACATGCCCTGCCGGTGGCTGCGCGCTCAAGGATGCAGCGGCCAACAACGTTTAGATGTGCTCTTGTAGCTATCTGAGACTCATTTTTCTGGCGTACCCTGACTTGCACAAATGCAGTCACCTGTTTTGGATGGTTGTTTTGGCACAGCCTTGCAGGCCCCCCTTGCCGCTACCCGAGCGGCGGCAATCTGTGCCTCCATCGTCCCTGCTTGCGTCGCCGCGGGGTGTGCCGACCATTCCATTTGGGCACCAGGCACGGCACAAAGGGATCTTGGCTTGTCTTCGAGTGAGTCAGGTAAGAGCAAGAGAGGTGCGCAAGAAGACGATTCATTAACCAACCCCGAGCAACACCTGCAATGTGTTTTCTTGTGGACAGGGCAGGCAATCTACAAGTTCATTTGGGGGTTGGACTAGTGCTGGGCAAAGCGAGAGCGGAGGCTGCGACGCGAACGAGCGTCACGAGGCGCGTTCCCGCTGTGAACAGCATTCGAAGCTGGTACGCAGTCATCTTGCGTTTGGTCTGCATGAATCCACCGGAGATGCTTGGAGTGATTGGATTCCATCTGGGGTACCAGTAGCAAGTTGCAGAGATGGCCTCAACCTCTGGCCAGGCCGGCGCACCAGGCGCACCAGGCGCACCAGGTGCACCAGGTGCACCAGGTGCACCAGGTGCACCAGGTGCACCAGGTGCACCAGTTGCAACAAGCACAGGCGCACTGGCAACCACATCCAGCTGTCATGGGACAGGCGTGGACGCTGAGCCGTGCTATGAATGCGCTCAAGTCAAATATCAGAGACACGTTGCATGGTTTTGTCGGTGTTACCGCTTTGCTACACTCGGGGCATAACCTATGGCTCCATTTTGGGGTGGATGAACATCCATTTGCCTCCTATTTTAATGTTCACCAGGGGTGGGTTTTGACCCCCAGCCATACAGCCATATGGCCCTGTTGAACGCCGCTGTTTAAGCATGAGCTTTCTCAGCCAATGGCCCTCGCTGGTTTCCAGGTGCCCCATGGACTCGTACCCACGACAGCGATGCCGCTCCGCAGATAGATGGCTCGCACGAGGCTGGCAGTTTTTCTGTGTACATAGTGTAAAGTTGTATCCTGGGTATCCGGTAGTAGGTAGGTCTTGACGTTGCTGCTCGCCAAGCGAGATTTGTGCAGCCTGATCTCTTTCGAGAAGGAACAAAAAGCCAGAACTCTTGCTAGATAATGCCCACAAAAATAGATGGGGGCTCGCTACTGGGCAGCTGGGAAGGTACTAGATTTGAAGAGGGTCTTGACAATTCCCCGGCTTTGGGGATCGAAACAATTTATTTATTCATAAAACTAAACCACGATACTAATAAATGCTTTAATAAATGGAATTTATGTTATAATTTTCTTTATAGAAATATTTTTGTTAAACAATTAAGGTTTATTATAAATTAAATGTAAAAAATATATTATTATAATTATATTATTTATTTATATATTAGATTTTTATATTATTTATAGAATACAAAATATTAATATGAAATTAATATAGATAATGGATGAAGTGGATTTGTGATTAAATCTTTTTAAAATAGACGGTGTAATTATGGGAAATGGAAAGATAAGAGATTTATTATTTTTTTTGTTTTTTTGTAAACTCTAGAAAACTAATAAATTTTAAAGATAATAGGGAAGGGATAATATGATTTAAGAATTTCTTTCTTTTGATTGTGTTAATGAGAATTTATTTATTGGCGAGCGAGGGAGGAAAGAGGTAGATGGGGAAATGAGTGATTGGGAAAGATGGGGTGAGTGGTAAAGAGATATGTTTTACCCATTGATTTTTATTATTTCTTTTTTTTGTTAATTTTGTTTATGGGAATTAGAGATGATATATAATAAAGAGAAAAAAAGGAATGGACTCGTTTTTCGTTAAATTTTTCTTTTTTGCTTTTCTTTTTACTTCTAATGGCATTTATTTGCTTCTCTGAAATATATTGGAAAGAAGAATTATTTATTGGTAATCTTCTTTAGGATTCTTTATTTATAGGTTATTCTTATTATTTATTCATTTTTTTTTCTTTCTTTTCGTTTATTAGTTAAACCTGAGGACGAATTAAGGAGAAGGAATAGAAGGGAATGAATGAATTTGGAAATAAAGGTTGGGTGATAAATGAATGAATGGGAAGAAAGGATATTTGTTTTCTTATTTGGCTTCTTCTTTCATGTTTTTTGTTTATCCTTTTCCTTTCTATTTATTATTATGTTGGATTTAATTAATAATAGCTTTTATATCAAATAAAATTCAAAAATAAATATTAAATTAATAAAGAAAATAATAGGAAAATAGCCCATCTTTCATTTTTTTTCCCACTTTATTATTTCTCATAATAAAAAGAATTAAATACAAAAATATATAAGTTATTTTTATATATTTATGTTATTTAGAGGTGATTTTATATAAATAATTTTGTTATATATGTGGTTTTAATGAATTTTATTTGTTTTTTAAGTAAATCGCCGAATATAGTTTTGAATAATTTTGAAGATATAAAATCGATAGGAATAATTTGTTATATGTAAAATTTTAAAAATATTGAATTTTTGATTAAAGTATGGTGGATGAAACATATATTTTGTGTTTTGGGATTATATGAACCCAATTTAAAATTCGATTTTTATTTGAATTATAGAGAAATCATTATTTGGTATGTGAAAGGCATCGGGAGGCGGCGTTTGGCCGCACAAATATATGATTATGGAGGTATGTTTTAAGAATGATGAATTGGCTTCCTTGGCTTTGTCTATTACTTTCGATGAGTGTTTCGATTACTTTTGATGTAGAGCGGTGTCTTTTACGATTATTTCCTTTAGTTTGTGTTTAATGAAATTATTATTTCTTGAATTACGAGGAATATATGGCTTTTGGATCTAGATTCTCGGCCTTTTTTGTGTGTTTGGTTTGGGTCTCGTTTTCGGAACGGGGTGATGTAATCTCCGTGTCTAAAATGGCGTTGGGTTGTGGATAGGCGAGATTTTATTTCTCGACTCTGTTTTGTCGTTAATGTTCTCGAATATTTCGATTTGAAGATTTGGGTTGAATTGCCTATTGTATTTTAGATTGCCAATCCTTTTGCGGAAGCAATTGCGCGTAACTGCTTGATCCAGCTCCGGCTGTTTACTTTTAAGCAAGGCTGGAAGCGGCCTCGAAGATTGCTCTCTGCACTGAGCTGAATTTTAAAAAAAGGAAATAAAAGAATAAAAGGTCGGGTTTGGGAAAATATTTCTATATTATTTGGAGATTGATTTCTTTGAAATTTTAAAATGTACTTGGGAATTCTTCGGAGGAAATAGTTTTATGGGAGGGGAATTTTATTCCCCAGATAGCTGAAAGCTATAGGGGTTCTAACTTCTAATAAAGAAGGAAAAGTGATTTGCGAGATTGAGGGCCGGGTGCTAGGGGGCATGCAGTTTGGGGTGCTGGTGGAGGTGCTGCTTTGCGAGCTTGACGGCCAGGTGCAGGGGGCATGCAGTTTGGGGTGCTAGTGGAGGCCGGGTGCTAGGGATGCAGTTTCGGGTGTTGGTGGAGGTGCTGTTTTGCGAGCTTGACGGCGGGTGCCAGGGGGCATGCAGTTTGGGGTGCTAGTGGAGGTGCTGTTTTGCGAGCTTGACGGCCGGGTGCTAGGGGGCATGCAGTTTGGGGTGTTGGTGGAGGCGCTGTTTTGCAAGAGTGATGGCCGGGTGCTAGGGGGCATGCAGTTTGGGGTGCTAGTGGAGGTGCTGTTTTGCGAGAGTGATGGCCGGTGCTAAGGGGCATGCAGTTTCGGGTGTTGTTTTGCGAGAGTGATGGCCGGGTGCTAGGGGGCATGCAGTTTGGGGTGCTAGTAGTGGAGGTGCTGTTTTGCGAGAGTGATGGCCGGGTGCTAGGGGGCATGCAGTTTCGGGTGTTGGTAGAGGTGCTGTTTTGCGAGATTGACGGCCGGGTGCCAGGTGTGGGGTGCTGAGAGTGATGGCCGGGTGCTACGGGGCATGCAGTTTCGGGTGTTGGTGGAGGTGCTGTTTTGCAAGATTGACGGCCGGGTGCTAGGGGGAGTGCAGTTTTTGAGTTTGGGGGGCTCCGCTTTGCGAAATTGACGGCCGAGTGCTAGAGGGGCATGCAGTTCTGGATGCTGGTTGAGGCGCTGTTTGGTGCCTATGCTGTTTAAAGCGCTGATGGACAGCGGGTGCTATTGGGCATTCAGCTTGTGGTGCTAGTGCAAGTACTGCTCTTCTGGGGTGTTGTTTGCAGGCGCATGTGCTGATGCAGGTGCTGCTTTGGGGTACTGTTTGGGGTGCTGCTTGGAGATTGCCGGCGGGTGCTAGAGGGCTCGCAGTTTGGGGTGGTGGTGGAACTGCTGTTTTGGGTTGCTGTTTAAGGTGCTGCTGACCGCGCTGGCGCTTATTTCCAAGATAACTGAAAACCATAAGGGTTCCAACTTCCAATGAAGAAGGGGAGTTGTTTGGCAAGATCGACGGTTGGGAGCTAGGGGGCATGCACTTTGGGGTACCGGCGCAGGTGCAGTTTTGAGGTGCTGTTCGGGCTGGTGACAGTACGTGACGGCAAGGTGCTCGGTGCTCGGGGACATGTCCCGTGCTGGCGCGGGTGCTGCTGTTGGGGCTGCTGTCTTGAGGTGTTGGTGACGGTGCGGGCGCATATGGACGGCAGGGTAGCGGGTGATGTTTCATGACGCTGTTGATCCGGGTCGGAGGTTGTTGCTGCTCTAACTGTCGTTTGTGATGGTGCGTGGTTCGTGGCTGGTGTGTCATCATGATGTTGTCACCCGCGTCATGATGCTGCTGTCACTGCAATGCTGCGATGCTGCGTTATGGTTCGTGGGTGTGGTGGCGCCATGACTGCTGTCAACATCAGGATGATGCTGAATTTCATTACGCTGTCGCGAGAAGATTCGTGGCTGTGGTATCATCATGATGCCGCCTTTGCCATCACCATGATGCTGTTCGCAGCACCATGATGCTCACCGCATCATGGTGATGCTGTCCGCATGATTGTGATGCTGTCCGCATCATCATGATGCTGTCGAACTCATGAGGACGTCGTCTCTGCCTTTATTTCTGCTAGATATGTGGCGTGGAATCGTTCGTTGCTGGTGCATCAGCATGATGCTGTCAACATCATCATGATGCTGCAGGAACCATTATGATGCTGCAGAATGGTTCGTAGCGGTGGTGTGCTATCTGGGGTCTACGATGGTGTAATTTTATAATATAAGTATTAGCAAAATGCACGAATAATTTTCCAAATAATTCCTTGGATAATTTGTAGGATATGTGTTTGTTAAGCAATGTATCTCGTATTATATCCCGTGGTTTATGCTATATATCGAAGGAGGTTCTAATATAGAATAATATTCATTAATATATATATATTAAAATAATATAGTTTGGGTATTATATATTATATATTTAATATATTTATTATATTAAAACATAATATATATATATTTATTAAAAATTAAATTTGGTATATTAAATATTGATCATGAAGTTATTTTATTTATTGATATATTGAATTTTGAAATTATTCTTTAAATACTTGAAAATTTTGGATTTGTTATAATTTTATTAGGGATTGTATTAGGATTCTATTAGGCTTGTTAGGGGTTTATAAGGGTTATACAGAATTACGAATATTCCAAAGAATATAAATATATAATAAATATAAATTAAATAAATAAATGGAATATATAATTTATAATCAATTTAAAATTATAATGTTTAAATTTAAATATGTATAAAAATTATATTTATAATAAATATATTTTTTAAGTTTAATAAACCAATAAATATATATATATTAAATTAAATGTTTAATTTAAATATTCGAGTTCATAAATAATAAAATATAATCGAATAATACCATCGAAAAAAATTCGTTTATCAATATTCTATTGCCATTTTACACACAAAAATTACATTAATTCGTTCCAACAACAAAATCCAACCTAAAAAAACAATATATTATAAATCCCGATTTAAAAATCATACTAAAAAGTATTTATCAATAAAATAATTATATATCAAAATACATTCGAGAATTGTCAATAAATAAATACACCATATTTAATAAATCATATATTAAATAATTATTTCACACCATATAAATAAAAAACAATAAAAATTAGTTTTCCTTAATATCCAACTATATAAAAATTATTATAAATATATTTATAATTATTATATTCATATATAATCATAAATATTTCCTTTATAATTATTATTTTAAAATAAATAATTATTGTATTAAAAATCATTTTTTTTTGTTTTTTTCATTTAAATCTAAAATTTAAATTTATATTCATTATTTATATATAAATATATAAATTATGTATTATTGTTATATGTATATTCTATAAATATTATATTATTATTTATATTTAATTCTATTTTTAAAATTAATATATATTTCAATATCCAATAAATAATAAATATTATATATATATATTATTTATTTATCAAATATTTTTTATTTTAATTTTTATAAAAAAAATACAATAAATTAAAATTAATTTATTTTATATATAAAATAGGACAATTTAAATGTGTAAAAAAGGAACAACCTATTTAATAGTAATGGGTCCGAACCGTCATAGAAACAACATCATTAGCGGTATCATGTGCTCTGCTTCGCAACCATTTTTCACTTTCGTGGGGTGCAGAGAGGGAGAGAGAGAAAGAAAAAAAAAGAGAAAGAGAAAGAGAATTAGAGAAGGAACTTGTCCGGCAAGTATATGATTGAAATTATTGTCCCCCGCTGGTATTTTGGGGGTTATCCGGTTATCCGATATTGTGTTTTCCTGAAACCCTCCAATAGCCGGCCTATCGCGCTCCAATCGCGACCATAGTGGGGCCAATCGCGGAGCAAACTTGGTATCATATTATGCGCTCGTATGCGCTTCCAATGAGGGGTGACCCAAACATATGGATGTTCCCCAATCGCGGCCCAATCGCCGTCCTTTTGCCATGCAGGTTCTACCAATCGCGCACAACAAACAAGTTACCCAAAACATAAATTGAAGACATGCATTTGCGGACGGCTCCCATTTGTTTATAATAATTTATAACTTGTCACACTATTGAATGTAGATGTATGGTCAGCTTTGGACCATAGATTGCACCCAGAAAATGGGACTGAGCACCAGAATCAGCGTGCTCAAGGCACGTCCACCTGTGCAATTTGGGGTCTGAGACAACCAAACCAAATCCTTCGAGGCTCTGACCATAGGTGTGTTGTGAAATAAACCCCATCTACCCAGTGGAACCCATCTATTTCTATTCAACCATCGCTCGTTCCAAAAACCGGATCCGTTTTTTTTATGGGTGCCCGGAGGTTTTCTCAACCTCATCGAAAAATGGAGACCTATGGTTCTGAAAACACCTCGGGCTCCCTTCGATGCCTGCACGTCCTCCTGGCTCGACAGGCGTTTCCTCGGGTTGAGTCGGGTGCGGGGGAAGGAATCTCGCCTCCAGGGGATGACCCCCAACTGTTGGAGTGGGGCCCGCCAAGGGGCCCTGCCCCCATCACTGAATCACTCCCTGTGAGGAGGAGGGGGCAAAAGAGCTTGGTCTGTGAAACCACAACCTCCTAGCACGAGATGCGCAGGAAGATCCCCCAGTAGCTTTCTTTGAGGGAGGGAAAGAAACCCCCCAACTGACTTATTATCCCCCTTTGACTTTCTTTGAGTGAGGGAAAGAAATGGAATGACCCCCAACTGAACCCATTCTTATTCACTTCCTTGAAAGAGGTTCATTCCCGGAAATTGTACTGAGAACTGAGGAATTGATGAGGCTCACAGACCGAGAGGCGACTTGCACCATCGGAGCATCCCCGAACTTGAAGCCGGCGACCGGCACGGTGGCGATCAGATCCGAGCAAAGAAGATCGCGGCACAGGGAAAGCAGCCACACCTTCAGTGCAGGCGAGCCCCGATAGTAGCCAACCAGCCGCAAACCGGTCTGTGTGTTTTTCCCCCTTTTTGGAGTTGCTTTGAAGGGAAACCAAAGGAAACCACCCATCTTGGAAGTACCCCTTTGACAAACCCATTTTTCATTTTGGTGTTTGAAGTTCAAAGGATGGTTCCGGGTTACCAATTATGCAGGAACTGGAATCACTGCGTTGGGCGAAAACCTGGCAAGATAGATATCGCCCAGGCCAATGCACCCAAATTCCACCGAGCGGCATTGACGCTTGGCATCCAAAACTCGGGCAAGCGCACCTGATCGTGCAACTTGCTTCTGCAAACTTTGATTCGTGTCTATTGCTGAGCAAGTGTGGGGTGCAGAGTTCATAGATGATCTGGTTTTTAAAGTTCTGCTTTTCCTTAGTTTCAAGGATGTGTGCGTGTGCTGGATGTGAACCTGCCGGTTTGCCTTTGCTGTGATCTCCTCTTTCTGTGGCTGCCCGCCTGTGTTGTCCGGTGATAAATAAAGATGTGCGGTTTCGCATCCCCGTCTTGTGCTCAACCACTTTGTGCTTTTGCTCTTGGTTTGGATCACCGGATAGCTGGCTTCGTGTCACTCACCCTGCTCAGCTCTGCTCTCCGCAAGCCATGGCTCCGTCTCGTGCCTTGAACGCGAGGCGGTAGTCCCCTGCTGGCAGCTGAGGTGGCTGGACGCCGGGATTCGCCACCAAATCCACCTGCCACAAGCCAAGCGGCGCTTGTGCCAAGGACCTTTTTTTGGCACAGCCACACGGACGAGCTTCTCCAAGAAGTAGAGGTGGTACCAACCTCTCAGCCAGGTGTGCAAACCAGACTTCTAGGTTGGTTGCACGCAGGACAGCAACCAAAAGTCGTCTTGCCACGCCACCAACTTCTGGCGTGGGTAGGCCGTCCAAATTGACCACCTGGCGCACATGGTTTGCGCCCAGTTGGAAAAGTCCGCAAGTGTCATCTAGCGATCATGCACCAACTCTTGCTTGAATATGTTCAATGTGTCATCCGTTGTTCAAGTTGCACATTCCACTCTGACTCTCTTGGCGCATTTCATTCAATGCGACAAATGAACCTTGCTCACTTCCAGCGGTCAACTTAACACTTCCCAAAGGCGAAGCTAGGGTTTGCCTTCTGGTTTTTTTTTGGGAAAGGGGGGCCTAACCCTGGCTCGCCCATCCCCGAACACCGCGCCGGCTCTTTGACAATGAGCGTGAACCGCTCCGGCACCGCAATCTGCAGCGCGCGAACGGGGCCCAAGGCCTCGCGATTCGAGACAGCACTCTGCAGGCGAGTTGGGGTCACGCAAGGCGACCATCGCCTGCAGGGGGTCCAACGTCTCTGCCACCCGTAGGACTACGCGGATCTCCGTCTCAACGCCCTGCTCCGAGCTGCTAAACCTGCGAGATGCTGAAAGCAACAGGCTGTTTCTCAGAATAGGAATCAGCCCCCTCAAATGGTTGGCTTCCTTGGGTTCCTTTCATACAGCTGAAATCCAGCACTGGCTTGAAACGGCTGGTTTCCTTTTGGTTGCCCTTCAAATATCAACTGAAGGGGGTCCACCATGTTGAGAAACTCCCGGTCGACATGCCTCGGCCCCTTTTCTCAAATGTGACAATGGGAAATCAATTTGATGTCGAAGACAAGATCACCGGCACATCTTGACTGGCACTCGCATGCAAGCCAAGTGGCTGCAGCTGAGGAGGGTTCAAACTGAGGCCGTGGACAATGCGCTGCCCTGGGATGCCCACTTTGGCGTCCAACACCTTCCAAGGCATGAAAGTCGGTTTGATTCGGGCATGACAAACCCCCAAGACCAATGCTGGCTCATGAGGGCAGACTGCACGGCAAGCAACATGAAAGTCTTGTCATTTCAGGCCCGTCAACCAATCTGCCAAATTATCCAGCGGCGCCTTTCCTTGCACATCCCGCAGGAGGAGGTCAAACAAGTTCCTTGGCTACTTCAACATTGGACGCCAGATTCATGCCAACTGCAGCATGCTTGGCGTTCGCTACTTTGCCCACATTATGCGCGACTGAATGCTTTCATGCAATGCGGGTGTTCCAAAAATGATCAAGGACCCCTTGTGGATGGAGTTTCAAAGGCAGGCTTGACCCAGAGCTGTTGGCGACATGGGGAACGGGCGCTCTTTCTTGTTGGTAACCCTCCCATTCGGCGAACCTGACCGGGGTTCCTGGGGACCCTCTCGTGGGTGTGGCTCAACAATCAAGAGCCGGTCCGCAGGTTTTAGTCGTTGGAATTTCATTGACCAAAGGGGCCATCTTGGGGAATTCCATTTTTTTTGAGCCACAGATGATATTTACCATCAACCCAGAAGCCATCTTGGGGATCCTCATGAAATTTTGAGCCTCAGCCTCGGGGGTTCCATGATGAACAGGGAGGCTGGGATTTTTGCTTTTTGCTGCCTGATGGCTCGCTGGGCGTGAACGCTGGTGTGCGCATCCCGGCCATAAAGGCGTAGCTGCCAGGGGCCAATGTCCTCATGGAGAAAAACAACCCCCTCGGTTGCTGTAATCACCCCCCTGCAAGAAGCGAATCACTTTTTGGGGGTTTAGTGAAAAAGCCCCAAATGATGTGACAAAAAGTTAAAGTCTAAAGCTCCAACCCAATAGCAGTCAAGAACCCAGCGAAACCACCTGGCTGTGTTCCATTGAATCCCTTTGCCATGGTGTTGCGCTAACAAAAGGAGTCCATGTTCACCTTAGGAAACAACCAAATGTAAGAACAAGGAGCCACTCCGGCAGAGCCAACCACCTACACGACGCCTGGCTTTAAAAATGCATCTGGTTCACTGATTCAGCGTCAGCAGCAAGCCCTGGCTGCTGTCGCAGGCGCCCAGGCCAGGGAGGAAGAGAGCATTGAAGCCTGTTCAGAGATGAGCCGATCCCCACTAAAATAGGTTCTAAAATGGGCGGTGAATTCACCTACCCCAAAATGGTACTACCAGCTGGCCAATTGCCGGCACATCGATTTTGGGCAAAACGATGTCACTTTACGCCTAAGTGACTGCAAAACCAATTTGTTATTAAGTATCACTCATGTGTACTTAGTGCAATTTGTGCAATGGTAACAAGTGACCTTCCAGGGTCCTTGGGGGGGGGGGGTTGCAGGGGAAAGGGGAGGCTGGCAAATTTGAGGTTTGGAGGGGTTCTTGAGGAGCGTATCACGGCGTGTCGGGGAGTGGCTAATTGCCAGCACATGTACGTTGAACGGTCACTTTTTTTGGATATGAGCGTGTCACCGCGTGTCCCCCCCGCGCGTTGCATGTGCAATGATCATACATGTCAGCCCAACCCCTCAACTGCATCCCCTCTGGTATCCTGAAGTGACATTTCAACAAAAGTGACCTTTCACTGCACTTTGATGATGGCAAAACATCTATGTGACTACAAAAACAATTTTAAGCAAGTGCTGGTCAATTGCCGGCACTTCTTCTTTGATATCGATGCACTGGGATCGGGTAGGCGATAACCAGCTATAACTGTCTATAACCCTTCTTGATAACCAGTATTCAGAACCATAGAACGCCCTCCGAGCGCCGGAAAAGCGAAACGCCACCCCTGCCCCGCCATCCGCGGCGAGGCAAGACAGGCCGTAGACCGCTGGTGCCACCACCTGAGCAACAGATGGCTTCTCAAGTGAATCTCTTTTTGGTGGTCACGGTTGGACGGGCAAAGGTGTTATCCATTTATCCATCCATCAATCCAAATGGTCACAGGGAAATAGGAAACCAACACCTTAGTGTTTCTTTGGCCAACGGGAAACCCTCAAAACTCCCTGGATTGTGCCCATGACCTGTGCCACGCGGTTGCTAATTCCCCGTCTTGAGGGAAGAATACTAAAATGAGCCGCTACCAGTAGCCTCCAGCAATTAGGCATCTTGACCACCGGGCATTTCCTCCACGTGTCCTCGGCCATGTGACTCCCACAAAACACGGCCGCACCTATTTTTGGCCGGAACAGTCATTATGTGTTTCTTGCAAGGAAGCCTTCTGCTTACAAGTGACCGTCATCTTTCCAGGTTTTGATGGTGTAATGTTTGCTGCGTGATTGGTTCGACGCTTCCAGTAAAGGATGGCTTGCAAAAGGAAAACCGCCAGTTCCGGCAGCCAACTCCCAAGTTTGAAACACATGCCCGCGAGACCGCGCTCGCCTCGATGTTGCCGCCGCCCATGAGCGTCTGGGAAGTCCTGAAGCTCACCGCCACGTGAACCGCCTCACACGACGCAAGCTGAAGATCTCGACGCACTGAAACCGGGTGACGAGAGCGAATTCCTCAAAGGATGGCCCACACTCGGAAAGAAAAAGGAAATCAGGAAAAGACCAAAACACAGCTTCCCTATGGCTTTCGACAGGACTCACTGGCTGTTGTCTCTGAGCCGCCGGCGCTCGAGGGCACCCCGGCATAGATCAAATCGGCCGCCTCCATCTGGGCGACGTCGAAGCCCGGCGCAGTCCCCCAGCCCACCTCCGCACCCTGGGCGACATCTGCGAGCGAGATTTGACATTTCGGCCCGGGTAAAACCTCATTGGCATTATCCCGTGAAGAGCGATGATGATGATGATGATGATGATGATGATGATGATGATGATGATGATGATGATGATGATGATGACGATGACGACGATGATCAATGATGATGATGACGATGATGATGATGACGATGACGATCGTGTCGACCACATGGTGCACCATGTATTTGGCCATGTGTCCTAAGGTAGTTGGCCGAATGTGTTGGATCACCCCAGCCTCTGCCATTGCCCGCACAAACCAGCGGCCGCTGCTGCTCTGTGGAGCGGTCGCTACCAGGGTTGTGCTGATGCCGCCTGAGGGGCAAGATGCCTCTCGAACCAGTCGAGTGATTCTAACCCTGAGCTAACCGCAACTTGCTTCTGACTCATTTGCCATGCTTCTCACTCATTCGTTCAACACTTGAAAGAGATTTACTGCCAGTGAAACTTGCTTAGCAATATTGCACGCTTCACGAAAACATCGACTTGTGTGCCCCAGGCCTTGCATGGTGCCGATGAGAAGCGATGCCACGTTTGGCTGAGAGCGGCGGCAGGAGAGCACCTGGCGACGTAGACTAAGCTTACTAGTCCTCCATTTGCGCAAGTCCCCACAAATAATAAGAATATGTCCAGTAGTGATAGATTCCTTTCCAACCAACAAGGGAAAATAAAACATGTACTTAAGCAAATAGAAGTAGTTGGTCTTCGATCTGGGCAGCTTTCACTTAGCCCAAGCTCGGCAAAAATCAAACCAGCATTCTGGTATTCATAGCAACATCGACCGCCAAGGAAGTAGCGAAAAGGACACATGCTGGGTTCCAACGCAGAACTAACAAACAGGTTCACGTGCATTCCCTCTTGAAGCCATGTACGCTTCCACCGTGAGAAGCCTGTGAAGTCACCGTCAGCGTATCGCGCAAGCAGTTCTCAGGGAACACGAAGCCCAAGGGCGCAAATAGCAAGATCTCCCGCGGCTGCGCACCTGCAGATCGATTTTAAGCAGGTTTACCGGTTTACCCATGCCCAATGTCTGTAGATGCAGAAAATACCCTCCCACCAATTGACATGGAACCTGACAAGCAGGTCTTGGAAGACTATGTTCATTTTAAAGGGACCCCCTGTCAGGTTCCGTGTTGCTGGGTAGGAGGGGACCAGAAGGAGCCCTCGTGCAATGTCCTATTGAGTCCTATTGACTGTCTTGTTTGCTCGCGACTACCAAGTCTGAGCGCCCGTGGGTTAGTAGAAGAAGCATTCAATAAGCGGCCGTGGCTGAATCATCACCAACAACAGATATCCAAGACCTGTAGGGAATTACATTTGGGCAAAAAACCGCTACCTATGGTTGGAAATTGCTCCACAAAATTCATTGCCAGGATGATTTTGGAAGGAACCGCATCAAAAACAAAGGGGAGCTACATCACCTAGTGTCTGTCCTTCAAAATAAAGGGGGGATCCTCAAAGGGGGTGGATTCACTGTACCAACAAGCAAGGCATCCCCAAGGCAAGCGACGCCCATCGACACCGGCGATTCTTCGCTTGGGCACTGGTGGCCACTGAGATCTCAAGCTCGGCCGAGCTTTGAGGCGCCACACGGCCAGCGGAGATGCCGAGCTGCACGACCTGGAGGCGCCGGGGTCCAGACTCCCATGTGAGTCACAATCAAAACCGATTCAGTATTAAAATGGTTGACCCAGAACCATGTAAGGAAATACAAAGGCGGATATTCGCAACTATTTATGGCTGGGATTGTCCCTTACTAACCTTCATCTACCCGGGTTTTGATTGTGGCTCATGTGGCCATGGGTTGCATAACCTATGGGGTGGATGAGCATCCATTTGCCACCTATTTTGTGGACCCTGCCCCGCCACAAAGTGGATGATGAACATTTCAACCAAATTGTGGTGACTCGCAGCGTTTTTGAGGACGAAGTCAAAAATATGGCCGCTTCTTTTTTGGATCATGGTGCTGCCCAAGGTGCCGCTTGTAAAAGGGCTACCAAAAGATTTGGCCCCCAATTTTGACATCGCCCCTGCTAGTTTGGGGCCCGGTTTGGAGGTGTTACCGTCGAGAATCTGGGTCAGTTCACACTAAAAGGGTCTACCCAAAGAAAATAAATTAAAGGGCAGCCACACCTAGTTGGCCCTGCCTGAATCCATGGCTTGCATTCTAACTGACTGTGTGGGTGGTTCTTCAAGAAAAAGACTCCTGGTTTGTTGGCTTCTTTGTTGGCTTCCATCCATTTGTAGAGGTTGCGCGGGAGACAAGGCCATAAAACTTGGCACCGGACCAAGGCAATACTAGTTCTGAGTTCCCTGCCAGGGGATTGTGGGGCGAATTCCCCCCGTCTCAACCCCAACGGCATCCAAGCTCCTCTCTCTCTGTCCCATACATCAAAACCAAAGCATAGCAATGGTGGAACCGGCAGCAAATTTGGTTGTCTCATGGTTGAATCAGGGTGGGTATCCTATGAACTAACCCGTTGCCAAGGGGGTCCCCCAAATTAGGGCACTGCGGCGTTTTGTATGTCTCGAGTTGTTCGGGATTGGCAAGTAAGCCCATTGCAAGTCTTTGACTAACGTGGGTAAGGTCGTCTACCCTCCATCCGACAAACGCTGAGCGTGGAAGTGCACAGCCTCTCTTCCGAAAGAAAAGCCGTGTTTCTTGAAAGAGGTCTATGGGGCGGTGGGTGTCATGAAGACAGTACCCCATGAGAGCAAACTACCCGCATTTTGAGTGCTTTCCCATTTAGAGACACGCCACTCGGCAACCAAGGCCTCCCTTTGCTCAAATCCCCTGGAAAACATGTATATATATATATATATTGAAAACAAACTGTCCAGTAGTGAAATCGATTCCCTTACTCAGATGCCCAGTGGCCATGGGAAAAAAGCGGCACCCTCTTTTTGTTCGATGAGTTTAAACGGGAACACTGACCCAAAAAAAGTTGAAAAAAGGGCACCACTTGGCAACAGAGCTTAAAACCAACACTGGCAAATAGACAAATTCATTTGGCTGTCAAAAATAGGTACCCGTGTTGGGAATTTTGGTAAATGGAGCCAACGACTAAAAAATGCGGTCCAATTCCTAGTGGTTCAATTTTTGACCCATACCCCAAAAGGTGTAAAGTGCTATTCTTTGGTTCCGAGGGGCATGAGATGTCCATTTCGGGGTGCACCCCAAAACGGCCCAAAAGGCTTTAACCCCCGAGCCTGTGCCCCATGTTGCAGTTCGGCTTCATGGATAGTACGTACTCCCCATCGTCATTTTGACCCAGTCCCGAAATCAGCCAATGGAAGAGCTCGGGCCCCCGAATTTTCGGCTCCGCGCCTCGACCAAGTTGAAGCTTCCGAGGCTTGCGTCGTTGGTGGCCTTGGGCAGCTCCTGGCTGGCCTCGAAAGCGACACGCGACGAAGAAAGCCCACTTGGGTGGCTTTTTTTGGGGTACCGCTTCCTGGTTTTCAAGGTAAACCAAAACAAACACCACCATTTTGTTTTGGGAGGGGTGGTGGCCGTTTGGTCTACATTGAAAACTCGAAAAGAGCGACCATGTCTTGTCGTTTTTTGGGGGCGTTCGATTTTCTGGTTTTCAAGGTAAACCAAAACGAACACCACCATTTCTGATTCTATTCCCCAACAGCTGAAAGCTTTGGGGTCTCAGCAGATAGGCTCTGGGGTGGTCCGGGGCGGGCCTGCGGTAAGGTTCCACGAGGGCTCCACCAGGGTTCCACGGGGTTTCACAAGGTTCTGCGAGGGCTGCGGGGTGGTGCGAGCACCCGCATGCTGTTGGGGATGTCACCTGAGCTCATTTATTCTTATTTTTGTGGGGGACTGAATAAGGAATCCCCAAGCAAAGGACCTACATGGTCGTTTTACCCCAAGGAGGTCACTGGCGCCTGGCTCTGCTCGGGCCAAAGCTCGAAGGACCAGCGTTCACCATTGTCCGCCTGGCACATGTTTCTCTTAATCCCCAATCCCCAACACTCCGTGGATGAATCTGTTTGGCCAAATTTACCCTTGCCGCAAACGACATGTGTATGTATGTATATAAATATATATATATATACATATATATATGGGGATATAGATACAGCTATACATACATTTACGTGGACAAATATATATTGTGCTATATAGAGGCATTATATATTATATATATATATGTTTATTTACGTAGATAGGTTTTTAGACATGGCTATTGTCTTTATACCCATGGTAGAAATTGCTGAGTTCCACCCCCCGCCTCGGGCCCGGCGAGCACGGCGGCCCTGAGCTCGTAGAGGCCATCCAGCGGCTCCTCGCCGGGGCGTGCCCCTCGTGATTTGTTTCCCTGGTAAAGCCATGGTTGATGTAAACATTTGATAGTTGTTTCTTTTCTTGGTAAGTTGTTTCCCTGTTATTTTCCGAATGTCATTCGTTTTGTTCCTTCCTGGTAAAACAATGGTTTATGTAAAGATTGAAGTCCCCTGGACAAAATCAAATTAAACATACGCCAAGTAGTGATAGATTCCCCTTTAAATCAAACAGGGGGAAATACACAAGATTCTTAAGCTTATAACACCCATCAAAACCAATGACAGCTATGTCTAAGCAACCTCCATGACCTTTTGGAACAATCGATGGCACCTGGCAAATAGAATCAATGTAAACCAGTGGAACCCTTCTAATGAATCTATTTCTAAGCAAACACAGCTAAAAAGGACACCTATGATCCTAGATTTGAGTCTACCGGGTGAAACAGCGGAACCCTGTCCATTGCGCACCCTTCAGCCGCTACATCGGCTCCTGGAGGGTCAGGAACAGCACTGTGGCGTTGGCCAGCGACACCAGCTGCACCTCAGCCTGCTCAACTGGAAGGTTGTGGGGGGGGTGATCCATTTAGAGGGCCCCCAGTTTTGACCACGGGCAGCTTTGCGGATGGACAAAATTACGCACCACCTAAGAAACCCTGAAATGATGATTGCCCTGTAAATGCCAACAAACACATGGTTTCCCATGGCTTCAAAGTGGTGCGAAACGGACTTCGCAACCGTCCACAGTAGTCACCATGGTCACCTACCCCATTTCGTGGGAAATCTCGTAGCTGTGCAGTGGGTCTTCCAACCAATGGCCATTTCATGTGTCGCGGACCTTTTGATCAACCCCCAAATGGATATCAACCAACCAACCGCTAAAGCAAAGCAGAACACAAGCCCGACCACAACCAGCCCAGCCCAACCAACCAACCAACCAACCAACCAAAAACGAGGCTGAAGCGGCAAGGCCTCGTTCTCACCCTGAAGCTGCACATCGCCAGTGAAGGTGAAGGGTGGACCGGACACGTGGAGCCTTGGCACAAGACCGCATTTCGTCTCTCAAGACCCTTTCGGGGTGCCTTTGAGCAAAACCAAGACGAACGCCCAGCATCCATCACAACTGGCTTGGAGCCCTTTTCGACCTGGGTGGTGTGCTGTTTTCACGGTTCTCCGCAAAAACTGTGGTTTTCCCTTTGGCCTTAAGAGAAGACCACATTCCAAGGCCGAAACCTGCCACTCTCCTTGGGGCCTGGCGTGTCGCCTGCCGCAGCCGTCACCCGCAGCCCGAACGTGGCCCAGGCGGGATCCCCGCGTCGTGGCAGGGCCGACCCTGCGCAAACCGCGGCCAAAACGGGTCCCAAGTAGGGTGGAAGGGGATTTCTTTTTTGAGCATTTTTAGGGGGTAATTTTGAGGATGTCACTTGAATGGTCCCTTTGTCGGTGACTTGATTTGATGGTTTGGTGGTTTTGGAAAGTAGGTAGCTCCGCATTTGCTTGTATCATCAACAAGAGAAGGGGTTGAACTCCCCAAACCACAATATCCAAGCTACCAATCAAGCACTACCTGACCATGCTCACATGCCCAAAGAATCCGACAACAAAGAGATACCCAGGTTTTGGGTACCTTGTTGGTCCTTCCTTTGGTTTTCATATGAAGCCCTTTGGAGGGGTCCCTTTGATCCAAACCAGCCGAATATTGACTGCTGATTGCCTACTCAGGGTCATGTTTTGGAGATTCCTTGTAAGAAGTCATTTGGATCTCTCCACCAACATATTCTCATTTTACCAAAGCCAACTGTTTGACCTTTTGTTTTTTGAATTTAGTCAATTCTTGTCCAGGTTGCAAAAACATTCAAACCATGGTCAAGGTTTTGGGCCATGCTTTTTCCGCCCTGTGCCCTTCATGCCTCATCCCCGCGTTTCGCTTGGACTAGGACCGGGGTGTTCCAACGCTACTTCTACAATGCTTCCCTCTGCACCAAACTGGGCATCCGCATGACTTCTTTGTTGAAATGCGAGGGTACTGCGTTGGCATCATACCAAAAAAGCTCCCCCCTCCCCCAAACCCTAATCGTCCACCATGCCATGGCCCTGCCCTGGCCCCTACCACGGTGCATTTATGGCCTTAACCATGGCTTTGACCCAGCCTACATCCGCAAAGTCTCCGGCCGGCTGCAAGTCCTGAGCGGAGCCTTTTGGTGACCGACCGCCTAAGCCAACTTCAACCAGTGGTGTCCTTTTTACCCAATCTGGACGAGGGATGACCATGAGGGAAACTACCAAAAAATGACTTTCACCACTAAATGGGAAGGTTACCCACGGTCGTTTTGGAGCCAGGAGCTTTGATCAACTCCCATCTCTCAAATTGCAATTTGTGGATTGGAACATGCCTGCAATCCATCTGGAAAATGCTCACTTGACGTCGGCAATCCAGGGTGTCAAACACAAATACGTGTTCGCCGGGCTAACAGGACCGCGTTGGACCACACGTTTCCCATTTCCTTGGCTCCCTTATCATCCAGGGACTTAGCTGCATTTGCCATTTGTCCATCTTTTGCTTCCCTTACCTGGACCTACTGTGGATGGACGAAATCCTGCACGTTGAAACCCTGCAATACCATTCATTGGTTGTTGGTATTTCCAGGGGAATCGTATCACAAACCAGGGTTTCTGAACGGCGGTGCGCAGCGGATTTCGCAACCATCCACAGCATCTCCTCCAGTTGGCAGTTAGGACAGGGGAATCATCATTCCAGGGTTTCTTAGGTGCAGTATCTCCTCCACATCCCAGGGCTTCTGAACGGTGGTGCGAAGTGGATTTTGCAACCATCCACAGCAATCAGAACCTATCTGGACCTATCTCCTCCAGTTGGAACAGGGAAAACGTATCTGGACCTATCTCTTCCACTTGGGACGGGGAACCATCCGCAAACTTCGGGGTTTCCCTCCGGCCGCTTCGCGCCGCCTTCTCGCCGAGGCGCGCTGCGGGTCACGAGGATGCGGCCGGGCACCTCGAAGGAGGCGCTCTCCGAGACGTTGAGATCCTCGGCGCCTGCAGGCGACCAACGGGAGATCCGCTGGGCGGGTCTTTTTTAGGGGAGCCTCCCCCTCCCCGCCCCCTTTTGGTTTTTAGGGAAGCCCCCACCCCCCCCCCCCCCCCCCCCAAAAAAAAAGGGGGGGCGGACTACCCTGGTAAGGGTTTACCTTGCGAGGTGAGCTTGGGAAACCAAATGCGTGGTGTTCAAACGTCCTGTTCAAATCTAAGTAGTAACCCTTTTTCAGCACAAACCCCCGATATGTGTTTTGAATCTGCTGGGTTGGTTTCCCGGCTTTTGGGGCTCAAGAAACTAGCTTCTAGATGTTGCATGAGTGTTCCTGGGCCTTTGCCACCACTATGGACTTCTGGCCAGCTGCCAATGCAACAGTTTTATGCAATTGCCAGCATGTCAGCCACCCCCTTGCGCAACATGAAGCCTCTGCCTCTGTCACCATAAGGATATGACTGCTCCCTGGAAAAAGCGCTGGACAAAATCTTGGTTGCTGCTGACTCCTCTGCAAAAGGTTCAAATTCTTGCGTGTTTAATGGGAAATCCGCTGCTTCCCAACAAGTCAAAGTCCAAATATCCAACCAAACATATGGGGATTGCAAAATTATACTTCCCACTTAATCCGAAACAAAATTCCCATGGTCATGTGGGGGCGCTCAATGACATATTGATCAACCCTCCAAAAAGAAATGAATGACCGATTTCACGGCGGATCCGCGCTTTCGAGGCCCTCCAGCAGCACAGTCACCGCAAAGTGGGCGGCGCCCACCCCCAGCTGCACGGAGGAGAGCTGCAGAGTTGAGGTGCCCGTCACGTGAACGCCCACCGTGACAGAATCCACCTAAGCCGCTGGGGCATTCCGGAAGCCCTGACTGACATGAAACCTACCAGAGGGTTCTGTGAGGAAAATTGCCAATCCCGGACCCTCCAGTGAGGCTCCATGTGGATGGGACAATATGTTCAAGCTGGCCGAGGTTTGAAAGACTGGAAGATCCCCCCCCTGTCCACCTCCATTGGCCGAAGAAGGCGGCTGAGAGTGCTTCGTCTTTTGGCTCCCGCGGCGTTTCAAAGGAGCGGCCTAAATTTCGGGCTGGGCCCCCGGCGCTGGATCCCAGCACTGCCAGCGGGGATGCCCCAGCGTCGGAGGCCACCGCCGCGCTGAAGTTGAAGCCAAAGGACAGCGCGTCCAGGCGCACCGCGTCCTCGGGGGCCAAATGTTGGTTTCAAAGAACTTAAGATCAGGGCCGACATCCTAGGCCAGAACCAACTTCTCACTACCAGCGTCTACATCTGTCGGAAGAGCAGCAAATGATCGCAAGACTTTCGTATAGTGTACGGCGGTATGACCGATGTGGTTCATGTTGGCTTAGGACTTGTGGACAGCAAGGCCTACATCTCAGGCCACAAATCATAATTGCGCCTCACCAGAGAAGTACAAGGGCTTAGCAGCCTTGGCAATCGAAGACGAAAGGTCCAACAAAACTTGAACTGGTCAGCCAGCTCGATGTTTGAGGGATTCTTGATCCTTGAGCACCCATGAAAGATGATGCTGGCAGCCATGCTGCCTCTCTTCATCCCAACGAGTCGATTAAAACAACAGCAAATGACCTGGAATGAGGTGATCCCAATTAAAACTAAAGGAAATGCCCTGGAATGAGGTGTTCTGGCACACAAAAACACCCAATTTGTCAAGACCAAACGGGAATGGCTCACGGATGAATCACTGCCCAGATGCTCCCATGACGGGGCTGCTGAACTGCACCTGGCGAAGGAACTGTCCAGAAGTGGACAGGCAAGGTTTCCCCAAAGGAAAGCATAGGTGGCCTTGGTAAATGGGCCAGAAGACCCCACCTAAACCAGTGGAACCCATCTATTTTTAGTCAAACTCACCTAAAAAGGACACCCACGGAAAGCAGTCCAGTGGACAAGGTTTTCCAAAAGCACAAATCGTCTTCCCACACCTTGCTGTTGGCTTCCAAAAAGGCTGCAGGGTGGCCCCTCTTTTGGTTTGGCCGGGTTTCACCCGCCGAAAAGGGCAACCGCACTCAAAGACACGTGGGACCCGTCACTTCGCATCGGTGCCTCCAACGTGCTCAGGCTACCACTGGCCAGCAAAGGCCCCAGCAAGCGAACGCGGGACCTCGGGCGGAGGTCCGAGTCACCGAGCGTAGCTACGGCGCAGCTACGGTGCAGGTCTCTTGGTATCATATGAGGCTGAGGGTTGGGCATGGGCGATTCCCCGAAGTGCAGCTCAACTCTGTTGGAATCTGAAACCATTGTCAACCAATATGTGTGAATACAAGATTTGTTGGGGGGGGGGGGGAACTTGTTGTTTCCCTCTCTCCCCTTAAGCCAACCAAACTTGGGTACTGTTGGGTGGCGATAAATAAATGCTCAAGTTAATTCACACACACACATTTTCCGAGCATTACGCCCGCACCCGAACAGCAAGAGTGGAAATCCAGCAATAAGGGCCCTTTACTATTCACTCCCCCCACCCCCCTTCACCCCCTTCACCCCCTTCACCCGCCCCTGCCAAAAAAAACACAAACACAAGAAACCTTCACCCCCCCCCCCCCCCACCCACGCACCCACCCAGCACGCCCCCACGCCCCCCCCCCAGCCCCAATGGCAATCATTGTCATGGCTGCCATGGGTTTGCGCCTCCCTTCGCAGCGGAGCCGCTCTGTGAGCTCCGGGATCACGCGCCAGGCGACCGTGGCAGCGGACATCACCCCGCCGTCAGGCGGATAGACCTGGAGCTCGGCGCACGTGGCTTTTCGTGAAAACTGATTTGGCCGTGGCTCGAAACATGGAATCCCCCAACTGGCTTGCCCTGGTACATGGAACCAAGGACTAAAACCAACCCGCCTGTTTAATCGTTTTTTTCAGGGAACCCCCTAAAAAGTCCGGGCGTTCCTTGTGGTTTCCCTTGAAAACCACACAAAAAGGGGTATCAACTCCAAAAAAGACACACCCCATGGGTGCTTTGTCCTGGGTACCCTTCCGGGTTGGCTCAAAGGGAACTTCGGTTTGAAGCCATGAGCCCCGCCTCTGCTACCCAGTATCTGTCCACCAAGCCAGGATTGCCTCGGCCACTTCGCGCATGGAGGGCCAACTGTTGTCTCTCTTTGGCGAGCCCTGTGCGAAGAGACTGCATCCCTTTGCTGTGTGGGGACGCCAAAAACATATCCCAAGCGTAGCATGGCTCTAATCATTCCTCTCTGCAGCCGGGAGACTCATTGGATTCTTCACTTCCAGCTCAAAGTGCAGCAGTCCCGCGATTTGATCGCCCTGGCGAGGATTCCGGCTTCGGTAAGCACTTGTCGTGTTTGGGGCCGGCCTCGCAAAAACCGAAAAATCGATGGTCTTCTCTCAGATGCCCACTGGCGGGAAAACAACTCGGGCATCCTTTTGTTGGTCTGCTGAGCTTCAGGGGAACCCTTCCCACAGGACAAAAGGGCAACCTCCGCCGGGCACCTGGGTTACGACTCAAAGTAACTACTGGGGAGACAAATGGCCGTGGGTCAAAAGCCCGGTTACCCTGTGAACATCCCCATCCAACCACTGAAATAGGTTCTAAAATGGGTGGTGCACCTACCCCAGAATGGTAGCATTGGTTTTGACCCACAGCCAAATGTTTCAAGCCCCGCCTGCCCCAGCACCAGCCGCAGTTGCTCTTTGCTGCAGCTGGGTACTGCGGCGATGGCTGTAGCGCGGTACCCGAAGTTGTGACCTGGCGTGCAAATGGCTACGACAGATATTGGGATTGATCAATATTCGTGGCCAGGGGGAGAAATATCATGTTTTTAGTGGTTTCACCAATGGTCGTCGCATGTAAGGGACCTTTTTGCCATCAACCCCCATTTTTTGCTTGGACTCTGACACCCCACTTCTCGCTTCTGTTTCCCGCGAAACTTGGAGGCCAGTTCTGGCTCACTGACATGTTGCGCAGTTGGGGCGCACCCCGTGCAGCTCAGCGGCAAACACCGGACGTCACCTGCAAGTTGCAAACCTGGTAGACTACATCCGAACCTGGGAAAAGCGGGGCCAAACCTCATGTCTGCATCCGGAAATGTTCCGAGGATCGGACAGTCATCCTCGCAAAGATCCAAACTGCCAATCTCCTTGTGGCCTGAACCTGAGAGACACGAGGCTTCACTCGCCATCATCATGTGGATTGGGGGCCGGGGGGGGGTGGATTGGGCTTGGGCCTCCCATGCCCTCCACGTCCATAGGTTGCTGGGTTCCAGACAGGCCCCGTCCCAGATCCTCCAAGTGGCCGCTTCAGCCTGCGCGGGTTTCGCCCAACATCGCAAGCGTCCAACCTGAAACTTGGCTACGCAAAACGGTAGACTCCGACGTTTTCACAATAACTCCTTGGATTTTGGCGCCGTGTTGGATTCAGCTAAAAAATGCCTTGTAATTCGTGACCCTTTGGTGAAAATCATTTGGGGTAAGGATTCATATCCAGAGGGCCACTTTTCAGTTGACTCCCGCTCAAAAGACACCGCCGGCGGAATCCGACAGCCCGTGTGCCTCTGCAACCTCCTGCCAGACCTGCAGGGCGCAGGCTTGTAGCGAGGAGCTGCGACCCACAGTGGTGGACCTGGCATTGCCCGTGCCTCTCTTGTGCTGCAGTTGGGTGGTTTTTGAGGGTAGGCTTGAAGGGAACCAAGAGAACAACTACCATCTTTGGAATCTTTTGGGTTCCTCCCAATGCCGTTAACACTTGCTTAATCCATCTTGTTTTGCTGCGGCTGACTGTGACTCGACCACATCAAATCTCCCCCCTTCCCCGGCCAACCCCCTCGGAATGTTACAAGTACCTCACCCCCTCCCCCAGCAAACCTAGGAGGAAAAAAACAAAAACAAAACACGGGCCCATTTCCGCCCCCCCCCCCAAAAAAAAAAAAAAAACCTTATCCCCCCGGCCCAACTCACCTTCAACAATACCACGGTCGCACAGCTCTCCCCCAACCCCCTCCCAAGCAGGGCTCCGTTTTTTTGGCCCCAAAGTCGACTTAAACCCAGGGGTGGTTGATTTCCCCAATTGGGAAACCCCTTGGGGCAGTCAAAAAACGGACCCCCCCCCCTTCGAGTACTGGGGGCCCGGCTGGCCACCCAGCACGCCGCCCAGCTGCGGCGCGCAGTCCGGCGGTGACGTGAGGTCGAAGCCCTGCGGGGCACGGATGAGCCTCGGCACATGAGCTCTCCCAAGCCCGAGGAGTTTTTCCGGGGAAGGGGTGGGGGTGGATCCTATGATATTATGAGTCAAAATTAAACAACCAGGAATTGGACCACAGCTTTTACTCCATATTTGCGTCTACCAGGGATCTATTCTGGGTACCTATTCTTGTCCCACAGCCATATGGGGGGTTCTCAAACCAGGGGAAGGGCTGGGACCTACGATACTATTTCGTTTAGAGGGTTCCCAAAAAGCTGGACAGCCTGTTCATTGCCATTTCAAGGGAAACCAGAAGCAAACCAATCATTTAGGGGACCACTATTTTGAGAAACCCGCCATGGCGTTTGGGGGAAATGGGTGGGACCCATGATACTATCTCGTATAAAAAAAATCGCAAAAGGCTGCGCACCCCTTTGGCAGACACCTCAAGGGAAACCACAAGAAAGCCAACCAGCGGGGACATGGCATTGGGGTGGTCCTCAAATTAAGGCAGCTCTAGGTCCAATTGAGGCTGTTCATGCCCGGGATGCGGCCAACCAACCAACCAGCAAACCAACCAGCCAAGGAACCACACCTGAGAACAAAACAGCCCGAGGAAAGAAATGAGCTCATCCCACACCTTCCCAGCAATAAAAGGAAACTTAAACAAAGTGATCGAAACTTGGGACGATTCACGGTACGTACACATGCCGCGAGTGCGGGAGGCAGAATGATGTGTAGTTTTAATAGTATTTGTTTCAAAAGTAGTCTCCATTTTCAAACTCGAGTTTTCAGAGTCATACAACGGCATCAAAGTTGTTTTCCAATCCAAGTGTGAAATGGCACTTTTACAGCCTGACATGACCCGATCTGCTTTTGCGTTTGTCGGTCTATAATAAAGTGGTTGACGCCTCCCGCATTCGTCGCTATGGTCCGTAAACTAAAGTGGTCGACGCTCCGAGCATCACCAGAGTTTTAGTACATAGCAAAGAACATGTTTTCCGCCTTGCTATAGGTAGACGATGTGGGGATAGTTTGTAGTGTTTTAGCAAAGAAAGTGCTTTTCCGCTCACAAGAGGTAGAAGGGTGGCAGACACCTCCAGCATCACCAGTGCTAAAGGAAAGGATTCTCCCGGAGAAAAAAAAAGAAACACCTGAAGTGTGTAGCTAGACAAGGTGGTCGACACTAAAGGAAATGCTTTTCCACGTACAAAAAGTAGATGTCGCAACCGACACCCTCAGCATCACCAGCGCTTCGGTAATGATTTTCGCACGCGAAGAAGGATTCAGCGTCCGTAAGTGAGAATCAGTACCCGGGACAGGAATCGTCTGGAGTTTGCATGCTTTGTGCGAAAGGATGGGAAATGAAGAAAGGCTTAAGACGGAACAGCCAAATCAAGGAGATGAAACAAACGTGGCCCTGATGAGCTATAGACAAACCAAGGCAAATAACGGAAACAAGCAGAGGGAAACATACTTGCCAGTCTCAGCAAGGAATGGTCTACCCAGAACTATGCCTCAAGAATTACACAGGCGGAGATCCGCAACTATTGGCCGGGATTGTCCCTTAACCGGATCATCAATCCCCGGGTTTTGAGCGCGTGTCTCTGGGAATTCCGTCGCCGGGGCCCCCGGCAGCTGCGCGCCAGGCAGCCAGCTGCCGCCCAGCGCCAGCTGAAAGTCCACCGGCGCCGAGCGCCCCGCGTGGCGCTCGGAAGGCGCCGCCACCTGCGAGCGCTTCGCGCTGCGCGCTGCGCGCTGCGCGCGCGCGCCGCGCGCCGCGCGCGACCGAAGCATTTCGAGAAAACCTCCACGTTTGAGAGGAGTCTCATTAAATGTCCAGAGGCTCCCCCTGTGAAAATGTTCACAGAACAACGTCTTAGGGATCTTTTGGAAAGTGAGCTTCAAGGGCTTTGAGAAACCTCACTTCACAGGAAACCACCAGTTGGGTGGTTCAATTCGGGCTCATTCCCGAAAATTCAGTACTCAGAACCAGCCAGGTAATGATACCTTGTGAAGCCTCAAAGCCTCCTGAGCTGGGAACACACATCATCTTAGAAGAGATAAGCACATATCATGAGATCGTGATACTATTTATAGAACTGAACAGGTACTATGGTCAGATAATACACGGCCATATAATTAAACTGATCATGTGCACTATCATGAGTACTAGTGATTAATCAAAAGTACTGAATTGAATTCACTCATGCAGTGGGTACATCTATGTATCTTATGTTTGTATGCTGCGAGGGCGAATGAGGCTAATTCATCATCAACTCATATACCTTCTACCTGATGAAGCTCAAGCTGCCGGCATGGCCATCGCAGGGCTCCAAAACCCTGACCGGGAGTGTCCGTTTGTTGTTTGTGCCTTTCTTTCTTTTTTTCCTGAGGGTAGTTTATAAAGGACAACCCCCGTTTTGGGATGTTTTGGGGGTATGGGGGTCCCCCGACTTTGGGCCGCACCCGGCTTTTGCCCAGCTGGTCACGGAGTTTCGACGCCGGGCAGCGGTTGGCACTTCCAGCCTGCCAGGTCTCGAGCCGGAGGTTCGGCTGGAAGCCCGGGAAGCTGGTCCGATCCAGGGCCACCTCCAGCGAGCCTCTCGCACAGCACGAAAGCACGCGCGGACACGGGGGCAGAGGCCGTGCCTGAGGAGTTGCTGAAGGTCCACACCGTCCAAGTGGACACCGCTGACGGGATCTGGGAGGGGTTCACCACCTGCGCCATTGGCCCCAAAGACACAAATGAACCCAACAAAACCTGCATGCTTGCGTGCTTGAATGCGCACATGTGCGCAGCTCGCTGAAAATTGACACCTGCAGCACCAACTCGTAGAGGCGACCTGGGTCCAGCTTGCGGGCATCGGTGAAGATGAACCTCATATCGTGGTCTCCCTCTCTCTCTCTTATGATGTATATATATATATATATACATATATATATATATATATATTATATATATATGTGCATATACACATATGTTTGAAGAACATGTCTCTCTCTGACTCTCCCTCTCCCTCTTTCTTTCACTTGCGCAGAATCATAAATTTGCGATTTTGAGGCCAAGACGACAAGGTCCCTGTGCCTGGCATGCGGAGAGCTCCAGTGGGCCCAAAACCCCAAGTCCGCGCTTCAAACGGGGTTAGCACCCCGGAAACTCACCTCAAATTCTCCCAGGTGATGTTTTAACCCTTTTCAAGAAAAAACTACAAGTAGCCAATCACAAGCAAGCCCAAACTCCGAGAGGTCCCTATGTTTCCCGTTGGTGCATGTGGTTCTAAACACCACCTTGGCCCATTTAAGGTGGTGAGCATCTCCTTTGGTACTGTGGATGGACGAAATCCTGCACCACCTAAGAAACCCTGCGATGATGATCCCCCTGTAAATACCAACAAACAATGGTTTCCCATACTGTCAAAGTGGTGCAGGATTTCGTCCATCCACAGCAGGGCGGAGGCGAAATCCATCGGCCCTCTGGTTGCCTCCGTTGGCTGCGCTGTCCGCCAGGCAAGACACCTCTTCCGGCTGAAAGAACACGGCCGCGCCCACGTCCAACAGGACAAAGTCCTGACGCGGATCCATCTGGACGGCGTGTGCTATGTTTCCCTTTAGTGTGAAACAAAAACAACATGAGGCTGAAAACATCAGCATCCAACTGTCCCACTTTTCCCTTGAGTCTTTCAATGTGGCCCCCACTGTTGCAAAACAAACACAACGTGAGCTGAAAAACATCATCGGATCCGGAGGTGTGTTGCTCAAGGACATCCTCAAGTTCTGTCTTTGTCCTGCAAGAATAACAAACAAGCGTGACCCTGTTTTGTTGACCCCCTAGCTGTTCCTTGGCCCAAAAAAAACGAGATGAAACTGGATCTCAACAGAAAGAAGCGCTGCTTGGGCTTGGGAAAAGCCAAACAAATCATTGACCAACCCTGAAGCCCCAAACAAATCATGGTAGAAAAGACACAACACATCAACTTTTCACAAGATCCAAGATGGATCTCAGCAAAAAAAACACGCCACGGTCTGGCGCTTGGAAAAAATCCAAACCGAAGCCACGGGTCCGCTGCTTGCCCCACCGCCTCGCTCGAGCTCGAGCAAACCCCCAGCCCACCTCGCAGGCCGTGCCGCGCGCCGCCGCGCGGAAGCCCGGCGCGGGCGCCACCTGCAGCATGCCCCCGGTGCCTCGACACGCGGAGGCGCAGAAGAGGCGCGGCCGGCGACCCGAGAAATGGACACCGCGCGTGACGTGGCCGTGGGTCAAAAGCCCAAAAGCCCGGTTAGGTTTGAGGGAGAACATCAACCAATCCAACCACTAACATAGGAAGCCTAAAATGGGGGGTGAATTCACCTACCCCAACACGGTAGCATTGGTTTTGACCCACAGCCACATGGACACTGTGATTCAAACTCTTTAAGTGTGCCAGTAACCTTGCCTTTATGGCCATGACCTTTCATGAGGATATGCTCTCAAATAGTTGGTCAACAAACATCCCCACCTAACTGATATCCACCAGAGGGTCACCAGTTGCAATTTGCACCCAAGGATGAAAATTCGGAGTGCATAGATTTGATTTGCCAAATGTATGAGGCGACCTCAAAAACTGTGGCTTGCCTGGAAAAAACTGACGCACAGCACGCAAGTGTTCGCAGCTTCCGTCGCGCCTGCGCCTGTTGGATCCCCCTTGACCTCCTGAAGGGCCGTCGCATGCTGTCGCACACGGCCGCGCCAAAGTGCGTTTCTTCAAATGGGCACCCCGAAGTCATCAACCAATGGTTGATTTGTAGGGAGATGTCCCCTTTTTGTGGGGATTCATCACTTTTGGAGGGAACGACACCCTAGGAACAGAACCAGCCTGTTAATCCGGGGTCAGTATCGCTTCCCACAAAACGTGGAACTGGGCAGGTGGAGTTGCAACTGATTTGATGCGCTGAGTCTGCAGCCCATGAAGTTCATATTTGCGACATATCGAGAAGCCCCTCTTCTTGCATGTTGTTCGGGGAAAAGAATACAACAAGGAAACAACGAGGGAACCCTCTGCAGAATCTCAGGATATGATTTTGGGAAACGCAGAAGGAAAAAAACATGACAAGCGGATTGCCCATGAAAGAAAAACATCCTCTCCATCTTCTCCTTGTGAGGGCGGAAGCGCAAGGTCACCGGATTGGGCAAGGCATCGTCGCTGCTGATGGCCCTGGTCTGAAACTCGTCGCAAAAAACGCGAAGAACAATTGAGCGGTGATCAAAATCAATAGGCCAAATTGCGATGATATCATTTGGCGCTTCCGCGTGCTTCCACGCGCTTCCGCGCTGCGGGCGTTTGCTTCCGCACTCTCATTTCCCTTCCGCGCCTTCCGCGGCTTGCGTCTCTTTCTTGCCAAGCCAACACAACTAGATCCACGGAAGATGAGGCCAGATCGGCCCATGGCTTTGGATTTGGCGGCTTGGACGCTAGAAACAGGTAAGTGAAACAGCCATGCTGGGGAAGCCCTGAAGAGATTTGCGAGCCTGTGCTTGAGGCATCCAGTTTCTGCTACGAGCAGTAGACGGCTGTGGCAAATGGTTTATGGGTCACGACGAGCCCTGAAACGCGAATCCCAATAGATTTGCAACGCATACGTGAAGACTCACGACACACCGCGGCTACGATTCCTGCACAGGGCCAACGAGAACAACACATCGCACACAAGTCATCCAAATCACGGAACCCTTCCGCGGTCCTTCCGCGACCTTCCTCCAGTGTTCCGCGAGTTCAGCCCAACATCAATCTCCACGCATGTAAGGCCCGGGGTTCAAAAAAGATTTGTTTAGCCCGAACAAATCGTTTTTAAGCCCCGGGAGCAAAAACAACTTGTTGGGCCCGAACAAATCGTTTTTCAGCCCCGGGAGCAAAAACGGAACAAATCGTTTTTCAGCCCCGGATTTCTTGGGCCCGAACAAATCGTTTTTTCAGCCCCGCAAAAAAGCAAAAGCCCCCAAAAACGATTGTTGGGCCCGAACAAATCGTTTTTCAGCCCCGGGAGCAAAAACGATTTGTTGGGCCCGAACAAATCGTTTTTCAGCCCCGGGAGCAAAAACGATTTGTTGAGCCCGAACAAAAGCCCCGGATTTCTTGGGCCCGAACAAATCGATTTTTCAGCCCCGAAAGCAAAAAAGCAAAAACACGATTTGTTGGGCCCGAACAAATCGTTTTTCAGCCCCGGGAGCAAAAACGATTTGTTGGGCCCGAACAAATCGTTTTTCAGCCCCGGGAGGATTTGTTGGGCCCGAACAAATCGTTTTTCGGCCCCGGAGCAAAACGATTTGTTGGGCCTGAACAAATCGTTTTTCAGCCCCGGGAGCAAAAACGACTTGGGCCCGAACAAATGGGGCGATTTGGCCCGAACAAATCGTTTTTCAGCCCCGGGGGCAAAAACGATTTGTTGGGCCCGAACAAATCGTTTTTGAGCCCCGGGAGCAAAAGCGATTTGTTGGGCCCGAACAAATCGTTTTTCAGCCCCGGGAGCAAAAACGATTTGTTGGGCCCGAACAAATCGTTTTTCAGCCCCGGGAGCAAAAACGATTTGTTGGGCCCGAACAAATCGTTTTTTGGCCCTGGTGTTTCGCCTCGATTCAAAAGTAAATGTCGGCCAGCCAGCCCTTTCCACGAGGCCTGCGTGACTCGGGAAAGTATACGGAGCCATCCCACAAAGCGCAAAATCTTGAGGCTCAAGTCCTTCCGGGCTCTGCTGGCAGAGTTGTGCCTCTTGCGGGCTTGCAAGCCCGGGGCGCGGAAACGATGCCCGAACATTTTTTGCGAAAACCACTGTTGGGCCCAAATCGCTTGAGAGCAAAATATTTCTACACGCGTTTGACGCTCCAAAAATGTTACCCTTCCGCGCCCTTCCGCGGCGCAAATCTCTTAGTCAAGTCCGCCGGCCCTTTACCAAGCTTCCGCGGCCTGCAGAAAACCTTCCGCGCGGATTGATTTCAGCGCTCCCTTGCTTAAATTGCTTTGAGCTTTTTTGATCGCTGCTCAATTGGAGACTCCACGGTTGGATGGGCGGTGCCGGAGACGTCTGGAACAACGGCCCAAGCTACTCTTGGAGCAGCCGGTGGTGTTCTGAACAGCCCCTTGCCTCTCTGAGTCGGTCCATTCGGGACTGCGTTGCAGCGTTGGATGTGATCCGGTTGAAGGAGCATGGTGGGCATGGCATGACCATATGCGAGTCAAATCATCGGAGCGAGTCAAAGTGATCAAACGCAGGCTGGGGTTGCCCGCAACGCTTATGGGAGAATAAAAAAAAAACTAGCCCCTGCTCGTGCCTCAACGTCGGTGTCAAGGAGATGTCCTGCAAGCAGCCATAAGAAACTCCAAGCCAACGCCCGACTGCGTCCAACTTCACATTGCACCAGTGCAGCCCTTTGTGCACAAGGCCCTTCCGTGCTCTTGCCAAAAAGGTTTCAAGAAGCCACCCTTTGGCATATCCCACGCTCGAAAATCCGCTCCGTGAACGTCCAGGGCGTGAAGCTGGCGAAAGGCAGCGCGGACTCCCGGCCGTACCTCGCTGGCTCGCGCTGAACCAGCTGCGAGGCTCTCGTGGAGGCCGTTCTGCCCACACACCGAGCGGTTTTCGGCGGGGAGGGAGGCCAGCCAAGATTTGGTTTGGGCGGCAGGTTCCAGGGCAAAGGTTCCAGGAGGCAGTCTTGGTGGAGCGGCGGGGTTTCGAGAAGACTTCGGGCAGTGGTTACATGTCTGGTTAACGCGTCGCCGAAATGTTGCATTATGCCTGGAAGGTGCATGACTCACGTTCATGCGCAGCAAGTGATCATGCATCTCAATCAAAACTCTGGACGTGTCCCCCTAATCTTGCTGGCTCCCCCAACCAAGCGTACCTTCTCAGGGGTTCTCCTGTGTGTGTGTGTGTGTCTTCCTTGTGTCTGTAGATCAGGAAACAATGCCGGGCGTCAGGAATGACAGGGATTGCAAGGCAGCGTGACATCCAGCAGTGGCATCACCAGAAGCAAAGACAGGCCACAGGCCAACAAAGTCCCATCAGATTAGAGCCTGAGCAATGCCAGGCTGGATATTCTATACTCCCGGGCCAGATCTGGATTTGTGAGGACGCGTCGGCAAAAACAAAAGCGGAGCCCAAGGTGTTTGCGCTCCCCCCCCCCCCGGTTTTTGCAGTCCCGCTCAGGGCATGCGCGCACCCCCAGCCTCTGCGTGCCTGCTCATTTATGTTGCTTCGTGATTTGCCAACAACCAGAAAAAGTTGAAAAGGCGCTGGCATCCTGAAGAAACGCCTATGGCCAAAAATGAGAAACCTCTCAGTCAGTTAGCGCACCGCGCTTTCCCTGGGGGTGCGTGCCTTCTCATTTTGCGCCCTTCTCATTCTGCGGAGCAGTCCGCAACAGCCATTTATTTAGTTGACTCCTGACTAAGTCCTTTCCAGAAAGCTTGCACGCCTAGTCAAAGCCTTCTCACCCTCTTGGCCCATACGCTGGAATATGTAATTATGTAACCACAAAAAGCCGTTGTCTTGAAATCTTTTGGGTGACCCGGCAAAAGAGTGAGCTACTCTTCGGCTGTTGTGTAGCACAACCCCAAAATGGCACCCGCAAAAACTTGACACGCCGTGCTCTCCAAGCTGCTCAAGGCTCCAGCTGTTTGGATCCGGCAGCTCCAAAGGATTGGTCACGGTGACCTCAGCACTTCCGCGGCCAACGACGCGAAAGCTTCGCTTGTGGCGTCTTTGCCCCAAGCTCCAATTGTCCAGGTGTGGATTCTGGCTCTCAAGGGTTCCATTACCACCAAGCCACTTTTTGTTGCTATACCTTTACGCCCAATGTACCTAGACCCCCAATGGGATGCAAGGCCAAGTCATGGGGCGCTTATTAAAAGAAACCTCCCGGGTCTCTGGCCACCCTAGGGACCAGCATGGACTTGGCGCGGGAGCTGTTGCCTTGTTGGGAAGATCTTTGTTAGATCCCCACGGCTTTCCTTGTGCGTTTCCCGCAAAACCACAAAAAGCGCCGCCTTTGCCTCCAGGAAGGTCTTTGTTCGACCCCCCATTGTGTGTTTTTGTCCACTTTGGGTTTGCCCCCAAAACCAACGCATTCTGGCTTTCCTTTTGCTTCTCCCTCAAAACCAAAGAACAAAAACCAGCCCCAAATAAATAAACCAAAAAAAAAGATGACCCCGCCCCCCAATAACACCGCCTCAAAAAAGGAAGAAACAAAAACACAAAACAAAAAACGGGGAAAACCCCCCCCAAAAAAAAAACAAAAAACGACCCGCCCACCCCAACCGCGAGCCACGCACCAAGGCCCCGGGCCCGGAAGCCATAGAGCCGCTCCGGGCGGAGGCCCATCTGCAGCACCAGCGTGGCGCGGGCGCCGCGGCCTCGCCGCGCGACTGGGCTGGCCCGTTTTCAGATCCCAGAAGCTGAACGGGTAGGATGAACCAGCTGGTTCTTTTTGATGGCCATCCCACAAATCCCGGAGGCTAAACGTTTATCTCTAGCTTTTTGTGGGTTGGATGGAAATCCAAGCACGTAACCAACTCGAAAGCTAGGAAGCTAAGGGGATGCCTGGGAACCACCAAGGTGGCAGCAGGATTTGCGCCAGAGAAAGGGGTTTGGAGGTCAGCGTGTGTGCTCGCCAGATGTGTCTGCCAGATGCGTCCGCAAGCGTCCGCAAGAAAACATGAGCCTGCAAATGTGCCAAGAGAAGCAAACAACATGGTGCGCGAAACTGGAGTGGTGGGCAAAACATGAGTGGGTGACTTTTCCATAAACTTCCTAGTCGATCGAACTGGCAATGCGCAAGTTGCCGTGCTGAGCACGGTTTCTGCTGCCATGTGTGGAGCGTGGATTTCTCCCGCCAAGCTATGATCTGCTGGACCCCGATCTGCATCCAAGACGCCAGCGCAGGACTGCACCTGAACACGCGCTCGGCTGCGAAAGGGCGAGCTTCTGATTTTGCAGGGTTAGCGGGGACACATGGGTATGGGCCAAATGCTTGGTTTTACATGCCGCCAAGTTTTGCTTGTGTCTCCCTCCAGAGATGAACCACTTCCCGGCCTTCGCGGTTCTTTCCCAGGCCGCAAAGCCTGCAAGGCCCGATCCGAACACATCCTCCGCCGCCTGGGCAGCAAGAAACTATGTGAGAATCCACCGTACTTGCCATGCCAAGGTGCAGTTGTCAGCCCCGGCAGGCAGTCCTATCTGGCTCCCAGCTCAACCCTTGCCTCACGACTATCTGGAATTCTAGAGCCCATGACTATGGGTCGTCTTGCGCGCCTAGCAACGCATTCGCCTGGATTTCCCCTGCTTGCTATCCCAAGGCAGTCGTGAGGGACACCTTGGGTTTCAAAGAACCGGTTGCCATCAACCGCTTCCGAGCTTTGACATGAGTAAGCTAGGAGGGACCACCCTCCATATGGAACCATTACCCAGAAGAAACGAGTCACGGACCCATGTTTGCAGGGTCATAGAGACAGGCGGTTGTTTCTTCTTCTTTTTGCTTCTTCTCTTTTTTTCTCCCGAAAAAGGGACCCCACCTGGGTGTGTCTTCCTAAAGAAAATGGTGGGTTTCATAGTTTCCCATTGGCTTCCCCTTAAAACGACAAACAAGGGGTACCGACCCTCGAAGAACGACACCCATATTCCATATGGCTTTGCGTCAGATTTGGGGGACCCCCACAAAACTCATGTTTTTGTTGTTGGTTCCCATGTTAGAGGAACTTCAAAAAGGGTGTAAGGTCAAGCCGTAAAGCCACGGACCCCGTCTCGTTTCGAAAACATCACCTTGGTGGTGCTCAGGGAATGAGGGAATGAACGTCCCCTTAAAGAAAACCAGCAGTTGGATGGTTTATAAGGGTCATTCCCTCATTCCCTGAGGCCCAGCAAGAATCCAGAAGTGTAGTTTGGCTTGAACGGGGGTTCAAAGAGATACGAGTTTGTCATGTTTTTTAAGGGTACCCCTTTTTCGGGGGATTTAAAAGTAGACCCAAAAGCAACACCATTTTTTGGGGTCGCAAAAAAAAGACGCACCCATATCCATAGGTGTCCTTTTAGGGCAAATAGATGGCTGGTAGATGATGAAACCACCAGGTAAACCATGAATCGCCAACCTACGCTGCTTTCTGCTCCCCTCCTAAAAGCTTCTAACTTTTAGCGGTTTAACTTGGAAAACTCCTTCGTTGTTTCAAAACGTTGTTCAGTCCTAACATCCCATAAGGCAAAATCGCACCCCCATATCACACAGCTTACGCCACAGACGCCTTCACCCCCCCCCCCCCCGCCCTTCCCCGGTTCCGCTCCTCCGCAAAGGCAAAGCCATGGGGCCCCGCGAGGCGCAGCGCCGCCAGCGAGGAAACGCGCAGCGCCAGGCGGAAGGCGAAGATCAGCCTGAGCCGCACGGCGTCAATGGGACACGAAAAAGCAACATAGGTGCACCGGTACAACACGAATTTATATATATATATATATATATATATATATACATATGTATAATATTATGATTATACTAGTATACATGATATATATATATATATGCACATGTTATGCAGCATGTGCACATGTTTCTGTGTTGTTATATGCCTCCAGATCTTCGCACGCAGCCCCTTTCTCTTCGCACAGTCCCTGCGTTTGGATTTGCGTCCGCTTGAGGCCAAATGACATCTCTCTGGGGCTCCTGGCTTGTTGATCTGCCCAGGGCGATCGTTGCGGCCGGTGGCGAGCCTGGCCCACTGGCGCGCAGCTCAAGGCGGCACCGAGGCACGAGATGAGGTGTCGCCGGAAGCTCAAGGCAGACAAACGTTCGAGGGGTTGGTTCCTGTTCCATTCTTTTCAACCATCGTTCTTTTCAAAAACCAGCGTTTTTTCTCTTCTTCTTCTTGTTTCTCCTTTTGTTTCTGGGGTTCTGATGTTGTTCTGAAAAGAAGGATCCCTGGAAAGAATGGGGAAGTGTCCCCTAGAGTTAGTTGAAAAAAACGGTCCGGCGGGTGTACATGGTTTGCAAGTCTTGTCCATGAAGGAACCACTCAATCGGTGGTGGGCACTGGTGGGCACAGGCTGTGCCTGGAACGACCTCGCTCTGTGCATCGGCCCAAGTGGGTATGTCTCAACATGCGGCAATCCCCCAAATACCACCAAAAAAAGGGCACCGAGCCTCAACAAAGGCACACCTACCCAAGTTCAGCCGTCAGTGGCGCCGACCTCTGAGCCGAGTTCAAGTCCACCAGCTGCGCATGCGGCATCTGCTGGTTCACTGGGAAGCTGGCCACGTAGGCCGGGGCCTAACGGGTTACTGAGGAATCCTCACGGAGCAAACGGAGAGCTAAGCGGGAAGGCGTTCCAGTTGGCTTCACCAAAAGTGGCGACAAATCCCGCAGGCAACCCCATCTTGAGATCTCGAAAATGGCTTATCTTCCTTGACTTCTTGTATTCAGCAGCGACATGTCGCTCACCTATATACTCAGCTTGGCCTGTGCGGACCACAATTCTTTTGGAAGGCCACTGCCTTGTGAGCGGCGCCCAAAACCTTTGACTGTTGGTTCTACCGACATGGTTGTTTAACGCAAAACAAATCAACAACAAAAAACATGCCGGCCTTGCTGTAGTCCCCATTGAACTAGGTTGTGGAAGCATCCAGTTAGGGTGTTGGGCGCAGCTCTGGTTTGATCCATCAGCCAAGGAGCATCCAAATCTGCACCGAGAGCATCAAATATCTGGACCTGCACTTCAGCTCTCAAATCATGGTACACGCCTGGACTTTGGACGGTGTCTTCTTGATGGTACCCTTTGTGTTGCTTGAAACCTCACTGAAACCTTTAGACCACTTTTCCATACTAACAGTGAAACTTTGTTACACAATAGCTTATTTAAACAAAGGTCAGATTTAAACTTTCTGCTTATCTCTCCTCATGGCTGTGTTGAAATTGCACCTTTTTTTCTCTTTCCATGCCACCTATTTGGGGAACCCGAAAACCAAGCCACGGCCATGCCGCGGCCCGCTTTGATTCACCGCGCCTGCCAGCAGCTCTCGCTGCCGCAGGCGGTGTTGTGGCCGCTGCGACTGCTCAGTGGCTCTGCCTAAGCGCGATCTCTGCTCAGCTCCCCTCTAAGTGGCGGCTTGACGGTTTGGATGTTGGGCGGCATGTGGTTACCTCTTCAGCATCGTTTCCCCATATTTAGCGTGGTTTCCTCTCCATCCGTTTTGACAATAGGGTTCAAGCTCCCAAACCAATCCAAACCACAAACAAAGGGTTGCCTGATCATGGACCTGGGCAAATGCCACGGTTGGATCATGCTTCTAGGTGTTAATGTTGTTTGGTTCTAGTCACCCGTCGTTTTTGTTTATAATGTGTATATATATATATATATAATATATGTGTTAACGTTGCTTGACATGGCTTTTAGGTTGTCTCTGCTGATCTTTAGGGGGCTGCAAAAAAGCAGGTGTTTAACCATCACACCAAGGGTTGGAAAGTAAAAGCTGAGCACCTTTCGGAACCTTGACTACGGACCATGAGAAAACCAAAGGGTCTTCAATGTGGACGACATTTGTTCAACCCCGGACCAAAGCAAGTTGTTTTCTGGCTTGCTGTTCAGCCTGGAGTCTCCTTGCGACCATTCAACTATAAAACCATGGGGCCACCTCTTTCCTTTGGGCGATGACCACATTCTTGAAGCCACCATGAGACTCCAGGAGCCCCTTCGGCCAAAAGTTCGGTGTCATGCTGCACCAGTAGTGGTGCATCTGGATCCCCAAACGCGCACGAGCTTCCGAACCGAACGCATGCCGGAAGAGTCTCAGGCCCTGGCCGGGTTCCACACGTCCAGGGCGAAGCTGATGACGCCCGCCGCGAGAAAGCTGTTCTGCGGCCTGGCCACTCGGTCGCCAAAAGTGGCTTTGGTGACTGGATGGCTGAGCGCTGAGTTTAGCAAACCTGGTATTTAAAAGGTCAGACCCCTTTATTTCCCGACGATCTCCTTCAATCCAGTCCATCCAGGCTAGGTTCTCCAGTAGAGAGGTTAGAATAAGGGTACCCCTTTTTTCTTTAACAGCTGAAAGCTTTGGGGTCTCAGCCCAGATAGGCTCCGGGGTGGTCCGGGGCGGCCCTGATGAGGTAAGGTTCCACGAGGGTTCCACCAGGGTTCCACCAAAGTTCCACGAGGTTCTGCGAGGACTGCGGGGTGGTGCGAGCACTAAAAAGAGCACGGCATGCTGTTGGGGATATCACAGCTTATTCCATGGTCAATTTGTAGTAGGGGACACCTTCCCCCCGAAGAAGGGTGAGAAAGGGCACCTAGCTGTGGGACCTAGCAGGTCTTGGCTCAGATCCTCGGCCTCAGCGTCACTGTGCCATCCTCCGCTTCACAGTTCATGGTCTCCAGGCCGCTGGACGGCTCACCTCGGGGCGCATGGCCCAGAGTTCACTGAGCTCCCGCCCACGCCAACATGGCTATGGGTTGCATAACCTATGGCGATCCGGTGGATGAGCATCCATTTGCCACAGCCACATGAAACCAACCATTTAGAGCGGTCTCCTTCTTCGCAAAGGGACCCCAGACTCCGCTTTCTTTCCACCGGTGTACCATTGGTTGGCCCTTTGGACTCAGCCAAAGAAGAACCGGGACCCGGTAAAAACTGTCGTTTTGTCCAGGTCCAACGCCTCAAATCAGCCAAAGAAGAAGGGCTTGCCTATTGGCTTGTTGGGGAAGAGGGAAAGGCACCTGTTCTATGCGTTCACCACGTTTGCCCTTTCACGCCAACCACAGAGGGAGGAGTTCCACCAGAGTTCATTACATGGCACAACGCCATTTTCTCGGGGATCAAGGAACCAAGATGGGCATTTGGGCCATCTACTGTTGCCCTGTACCTCGGTTTTGATGGGACACACTGCTCACTCATCCAGAGGACCTGGGAATAAACGTGATACCTTCCGGGACCTTTGCCAAAAGTGGACCAAAAGTTGGCCGTGAGCCAAAAACAGGTACCCAAAATGGAACCTTGGTAAATGGAACCAGAAGCAAAACCTGCGTTTTTTTTGGTTGAACTTGGACCCCCCAGAAACGCAAAGGTCCTTAAACCCGAGACGCCGATCCGTGTTGAGCTGAGTGAGATCCACGCTTAGGCCCCTGCCGGGCACCGCCAGCACCGAGCACAGGGACTGGAAGGCGAAGACGGCTGGGGCGCTCAGCACCAGGCGCCCACCTGAATTCCACGTTGACCCAAACCATCCCGAAAGGCACTCCTGACCACAGAAACACCCGAAACACCCGGGGTTGAAGTCCAAACAACCCGAAATGGTGGTGACGTCATGTCGACGGAGCTTCTGAGGTTCCCTGTTTAAACCAACACGGATCCCAACAAAAGGTGACTTCCCAGTTGATTTGCCTTGGAACCAAAGCCCAAACAACGCCAAAAGACACAAACTCATATGGACTCCTATTTGTTTTTGTTTCCTCTTGGTGTCTCTTTAAAAGCAACAAATGGGATCCGCTTGTTTGACACAAACATGAAGCCCACCTTGTTTATCGAGAGCTCGCCGACACACACACTCTCTTGCATTCTCACCGCCCCCCCCCATTCCATCGGTGCCTGTGTGTGTGGGTGCGCATGTGTCAAGACAAAGGCTACCCGCAAATTCAGTAGCCTCCTTCTGACTTTCCCTTTACCCGCAAATTCAGTAGCTTCCTTCTGACTCTCCCCTTGAACTAATCTGAAAAAAGTTACCCTCAAAAAAGCACAACCCCCCCTTCTCCGAAAGGCGCGCCTACCGGGATGTCAGACATGGTCTCCAGGGTCACGGAGATGCGCTGGCCACTGCCAACCACGTTGGAGGTGTAGTCCACTCGGAAGTTCACGATGGTCTGAACCTATGACCGAATCACAGCATTGATACATGTCTTACCAGGGATCCTTACATTATACACCTGAACACTGCCTTGTAAACGGTGGTTCCCCTTTGTTTGGTGGAAAAAGCCATGCTTCAAATGGGCAAAATGTATCTTTTAAGGAGCCCTGCTTACGTACGAGGAAATTATCCTAACGGTTGGTCTTCCTTATGAACCCAAGAAACAGGTACCCTCACATACGACATTGCCACATCCAGAGAGTCCATGTTGTGAAGGTTGAATGAGGGTATTGTGAAGAGGTTGCCCCCTTTGGCATCCAAAGGCGAAACAAAGTGCCGAATCCATTGGGGGTCAAGTGGGACCGTGCAAGGGTCGCACCATGTTTCTCAACGCCAGTTGGTAGACGCGAAACCAATGACAGAGATCACTAGATTTCCCCTTCAAAAGCTGCAATTTGAAAAACTGCCACTTTGGGTGATTCCAAAAAAGGAAACGGAGGAAACCCTGAACGAGTTCCCCTGCCTTCTCAGCGTGCAACACCAAAGCAAGCGGCCGCTCTTCCAATGTGGCTGCCTCCCATCCGAACCTTCAGATCAGACTCATTTCGAAAACTGCGCGATCTCACCTGGATTCGCAACCCCAAATCCTGCTTCACGCCTTTGGACTTAGGGCTTCTCATCTTTTGGCCCCTTTTCAAGTCTCAAGCCACCGCAAGCGCCGCATCTCTCTCGCTCCTCAGAGACCGCTTGACGCTGACGAAAGCCCTCGCCAAGCCGCTGGAGAAGAAATGCAGAGAGCATCGTGGCCACGGGGAAGCGAGGGATGCTGATGCCAACCTGACCCAGCGATTCGAAGTAAATTTCCCAATTTCCCGAGTTGTTGACCTACTACTTGATTCTGATAACTGTGGTCTGGGGTACGAAAGTAAACCCAAAAGAATCTGTCCCAGCACCCAACAGCATCCGGACGTGGGACAAAGCAGTCGTTGCGGGTGCTAGTCTTGCCCTGCTCTGAATGATTGGCATGTGTTTGCACGTTCAGTGAACAGTGGCCTCATCTAATGACAATGCTATGTCGAGACCAGTCGCAAGATCACAGCTGCAAACACCCAAAGAAACCAAGCATCCTGCAGTGCCACTGGTTTCCCTCTCCACTCCAACCATCCGAGCTGCCGCAAATCCGTAGACTCGCCCGCTGGAGTAGGTCGCCTGAGTCTGTGACCATTTCTTTCGGCATCCGAAGCATCCGGAAACCTCCACAGGCCCGACATGTTTTCGGCCCAGGAGCCGGCATCCATAGCATCGCATTTGGAGGCTGATCGTCATAGAGCGTCGAACCTGGCGGTGGCCCATGGGGGGTCAACATGTAGCGATCCCAGGGTGGACCATTTCTCGGTCTGACCCGGCTCATTTTTGCAAGCTTGAGGTGCATCCTGTGACGTGCAGAGACTGCAGAGACCAGACGCCCTTCACCGCGCGCCTGTCTGAAAGGGCGTGCCTCCCGGCCAATCAGCCGTGCTACCAGGTACGGCAGTTGATTGCCTTGGCGCTCAAAAGCTGTGGGTCAGATCCAAGCAATTTCAGTGACCGTGGGGCAAAAAGACTTCGCACGGCACATGGTTGGAAGATGTAATTGGGGCAATCCGCTCCAATGAACGGGAAATGAAGCAACCCCTGGGTGTCTGGGCCCCCAAATAATAAAAGGCACCTGCCCCAAGACGCCCCAAGAAAGGAATAGAGATTGTGGGTCAACCGCCAAGATAGGAGGGCCAAAACGAACGGCTTTCTGTCGGTGTCCCTTTGAGCACCCTCCAAGAGGGGGGGGAGGCACCAAAGCAACAATATGTCTCTCTCTGTGCATGTGAAAGCAATGGACGGTGAATCTCCGGCCTCAGTGCCTTGGCAACTCAATGGCAGCTCGATGTCTGTTGCGGCCACGTCAAGCTTTGTAGGCTCAATGGTTCAATCTCTCCACTCTCCACTCTCCACGCAGATCTCACATGAACTTTTCTCGCGTCTTTGTTTGCGAGATGGGCCGACACCTTTCCAAGTCAATGCATTTCAAAACACCTTTTGGTCAGCAGCTTTTCAAGAATCAGTGTTTTCTCATGTTTAACACTCACACGCACACAGCACCAGTTTGCCGAGCTGCGACTGGAAGGTCGTCGTCTCCAATTCAAAGCCGACAGGAGCGATGAGGCGGCAGCTCGCAGTGAAACTGAGCGGCACCTGCGCCCGTTGCAT